TATTAATTAACGCTGCCCGATGAAAATAATAATCACGACACCAATGAGTAGGCTGCGAATTTTATGCATTTATAGTAGAAATGCAATAGTGAAACTTGAAATAGAGGAAGAGAAACAAGAAAATTATTTGAGAAAGAAAGGATATTATAATTAGCTAGTTTGTCTTTCAATCGATGCAGAACATTTTTATTTTGTATTAAAATCCGCAGTCTACGACTGAGTGATCCACTACTGTGTTTATATCGAATATGTATCATGATCCGCTTGAAAAGAATTTTTCAAATGTGGGAAGAACAAGAACATTATCAAGCACACACGAGTTCGGAGAATAAGCCAATAGCTGCAGTAATGCCGAGTAAATAATTGGAAAGATGGTCAAAGTAAAAGGTGCAAGCGAGTTGTAAAGTATCAGTGAAACGTCAATGAACTCGATCGTTCGTCTAATAGAAACCAGCGGACAGTACGGTATTTAAGTAAGGTGTTTGCTCGAAATGGGTAAACATGGGAGTATTCGTTTAGCAGAGAAATATTTACAGGGTACATTTCCAAACCCAATACTACCTACCTAAGCTCTTATCCACACATTGGATCTGGTATGGAAACAACGGAACTGAATTGTAAAAGGACGAAAGTCGATAATTCATCCATTATCATATTTCCATTAGATATTTCGACGATTCAATTATCATGTCAATTAACCTCTTGACATACCATTTTCTTCGCAGTTACTGATATTTTTCGATTGCAATCATTTCTTAGAAGGCAAAGAAAATCGATGCTTATTGTGTGCCCAAAATTTACTTGAACGCTTAAATATTGATGACAAGAGATCAGAATTTTATTCCAATTTTAAAGAACAGTATAACATCTATGCTCAATGAGTTATTACTAGACATTTTCGTGACTAGTCGGACTCGTCAAAGTATGGCAAGAGGTTAATAGAGATGCCTGCGAATCTCATAACGCTGTTCGAAATTGCTTTTCTTTACTATAGGTTATACTAAACGGCTTTATTATACCATAGTCGTTATCTACACTCCTGAGTCCGAATATTCTCAAGTGTTCCTTAAATGCAATAGATACGGTTAAGGAAAAGTTTGTTCGATTTTGAATTATTTAAACATTCAACATTTAACACCACAGCGATTGATTGTTGTCGTAAGTAATATGTTACATGATTTTGAAAAGCTGCAGTAGCCAAGTTGTCAGTCTTGCATGCGAATGCTATTTTTTGAATGAATCGTGCAACGTGCACATATGTTTTTGTATGGGCCATGAAAGAAAAATGCAGTTATCAATACTTTTTGATTGCAAATACACTAAATTCTCTCTCATTGACGCTCACCTTCTACACAAAAGTGGACAATTTGGGAAGTGTCTGCGCCTTACACTTCGTTTTTATAAATGTTGACCATCGGAAACTATAAAAAAAATGAGCCGCGAGGCTCAAATAATCGTATCTCCTCTTCCCAAATTATCCATTTTTATTTACAAGCTGAAGAAAGTTTTGGAAGAATTTATTATATGCTTAAAAATAAGAAGAACGATATTGCAGTTTTTGCATCGAACTTCCCTTTACTATAAACCATTTAAAAAACCTATTTAGTTGCATCAGTGATCGAATATTATCGTTAACATGTTGACTGCCGCGCCGAAAACATCTCAAAATTTCATAGAATTAAAGTATTTTAATCAATTAAATTACACTTCCAAAGCAAAGTTATACGACATCGATTACTATTTCAACATTCTTGCCTCTTGCGAATCTTAATAAAATTAAGAAATTTTTATGGATAAGCATAGAAATTAAATTTCAAATAATTTCATCGCCCGCGTATAGATGACGCGACAGTCAAAGTGTTAATGAACTGTTACAGGATTCCATAAAGCTGCAATAGTCGAATGAATAGGCTTGCATGCAAACGCTTATAAACCGTGCAACAGAGACATAAATGTTTATGTATAGTCCAAGCATTATTCTAACATACTATATGTATAGATTGCAGCTGTCAAATCATCCTGATATATTTAAATTAGAAGAATGGCAGTGAAGTTTCTGAATGAAACTATAGAAATTCTAGAGAAATATTCTGCAATTCTCTTGGCTTCAAAGCTACTGCTTCTTCATGAAGACGTCAGGGAATGAAACTTGGTCAGCTATTCGAGGAAAGATGAAATCACGTTGGGACATTGAGGAAATTTTCCAGCAAACTCTGTCATCTTCTTCATTGATAGTATCAACAAATGTGTCACCACACTTGTCATGGGAAATAATAATTTAAGACAATAATCACATACCGGTTATGTGAAGTAAACGATTTAAGAAACGAAATGATGTCTTGTTATAAATTTATGTAAATGATTCCTGCAAATGATGTTTGTTAGGAGTAAGGCTCAAAGAACAGATGCTAATTTAATAGTCTTGGACTAGCGTTAAAGACCAGACACCAGTTTCTTAATTTTTGTGATTATTGCGGTTGGACGTTCAAACATTAGTGTCACGTGTCATTTGGTATCTCTGTATCTCCTTGTGATATTATACACTTATTGCACACATAGCAAGAAATACCAGCAAAAAACTCAACAATTTCGTATCCTGTGTCTTGACTATTAGTTAAAGCTGGGGGTTATTTCTCATTGTCATTAAACTACGAATTTTATGCATTTCCTACAAGAATATATATATATATAGTAAAATACAATAGAATAGTAGAATAGTAAAATACAAAACTGTGAAAACATTAGGAGAATTTCAGGACATCTTCATATTGTATGAGACTTATTAAAATTACTACAAAAGGAAAGACATTTTTATCAGACTTATGTTTCATATAATTAACTTACATAATTTTTATTTTGCATAAAATTTTGCAATCTAGTCATTCTGGTTCTGGGACAATTTTACTTTGGAAAGTGATATTTTCAACATTTCCCATATAAATATAACATTCAATGTAACTCACAATGGTACGCTTTAGCTCGACACACCGTGCACACAGCATGTGATGTAATAGTTCAACTATATTCTATACTATATGAACACAAGGTGCATGTATTTTTCATATTTACATTGACATGATAACCGGATGAATGAATCTTTATGCAAAATAAAATTTTTTTGCATCGATTGCATTGAATAGGCAATGCATAGACATTTATTCTTAACTTAAACAAATTATTGAATTCTTCCAATGGTCTCCCTGTTTTGTGTTTCAACTGCGCAGTTTTGTTATAAATTCATAAAATCCGCTGTCTACTGATAACACAATAATAATAATTTCCAATGAAATTTGTCGGTCGTTTATAAACGCAAAAATTTGTTTCTTAAACATGTTATAGGCGCCAATAGTACATCAGAAATAAATTTTCAAAGCACTAACAATAATCTAGGGGTTAATAAGTTTCAGGTTTACCAACGATCCCGTCCTCTCCACCTTTTGGGCGCCAGTGGCGAACCAAACACCTACTCGTTCTCAATTCCTTACCAATGAATCCCAATAATGAAACTAATGATTATGTACTAAAATAAGTAATACAATTTATACACTACATATAGACTTTACTAAAATGTAAGAGAAAAACTCATATAAATCGTGGAGTTTACCCACGTCTAATAGTATTTAGTAATGAACAGACAGCTGATCTTTATGCAATATAAAAGACATTTGAGTCGGTTATAAGAAATGGAAGTTAGATAAAGATGTATGTTTTCTTTCAATAATGTCAACCGATTGAAAACAATATAACAATATTATTGAATCTTTCCAATCTTTTCACAATTTTGTTTTCCATTCGTCCATGAATTCTCCCATTCATCCAAATGGATAAATGAAACACAGAATAGTGAAGAATTTAAAAATACTGCAGCATTATTTTCACTGTACTAACACCATTAAAGGAAGGAATACATTTTTATTTCATTTCTGTTTGATATTAAAGACGATAACAATTTTAATTTTGCGTAAAGATTCGTAATCTAATGAGTGTAAATTATGACTATGACTGTACGAACTGTAAATGTAACTTTCCCTGATTAATCCTAGACTGCTTTTTCCACACGAAGGGTCCACACTTTACGTCTCTATTGGGGCCCATTTGACCGCGAGAAAAGAAAACAGCCCCTACGCCTAAACCTATATACAGTAAATTCTTCCCAATTTTTCTCCAGCTTGTAAACAAAAATGGATAATTTGAGAAGAAGAGATACGATTATTCGAGCCTCGCCAATTATAAAAACGAGGTGCAAGGCTCGAATAATCGTATCTCCTGTATATGTATAAAGCGTTGTCGTTGCATTTCGACAGAACAGACATCGTTCACGATTAACTCTCGAATGTTGTACCGTCAATCAACATCGTTGAACTCAAGGTCCAATGGGACTCATACGGACGAACATACTTCAGTTTAATGCTCTCGTTGGGTATCCAATCGTAAATCCCGCCAAAATACTACGAATGTCAGCACAAAACAAAGAAGTCGCTGCAAGTGCATCGATATGCACTCGTCCTAAACGAAATTATCGAGGTTCGGGGACACGGAAGTCTCCTTCCCGCCAGCTTCAAAGTGACTTCTACAACTGAATGTATATTCCACTATTCGTTATAATAAAGTTATTGTTCGCAGATCTATTTCACTACGACCAAAACCCGCCCTTGTTCGAAAGTCAACAGTTCTGCAATTGGATCACGCGAATAGGGAGGGGATGATTCGAGTCGGCTGGCGACGTTCTACTGTTTATAAACATGGGTCTGAATTCCGAATGCAGGGTGAATTTACCTATTGCTACGTATGTACGCTTTACTGCGGAATTACATTGCTCCGACTGGATAAAACAGCGCGGTAAAGCGCACACCTCCGGTAAACGTACACCCGCGGCAATAGGTACAGTTTCATCAACCCTGAATCTGCTCGGCGAGAGTTGATTCACTCGTGAAAGCAAGAATTACAGAAATCTTCGGCCACGCAGCGATCAACTTATCCGGTGGCTGTTGTAGACTAACCTGTAGTAGGGGAATCCTTGATGAACGTGTAGGTCCATGGGCATGGCGGGGTGCGTGGGCCCGTGATGAGCGGGCGCGGGTGCGTACTCACCCCCCGCGGACAGGGGCGGCTGCATCATGCCCGCCGCGGCGGCCGCGTGGTGGCCCGCGAGCATCGCCCCCCAGTGGAACCCCGGCGCACCCGGCATCGCCGACGGATGTTCCAGTTCGAGTCCGCGGTGGCCCGCGGCGGGTAACACGCCACTTCCGGCCGATCCACCGGCGATACCAGCGGCTCCACCAGCACCGCTTCCGGCGACACCGCCGCCGCGGTGCATCAGCCAGCCCTCCACCACGAACGTGGATGTTGCCCGTCCGTGGAAACACTGTGGCCCTGGATCACTGGGGTCGACTCAGCCTGACCGTTCACGGGAAACAACAAACACTTCTTCTCTGTCGCGGAAGGTCACGCCGCGCCGCGGCGTCTCTGATTATCGCGAACTTGCACTATGCGGCCGACATCGACCATGTAGTACCGAACGGAACGTGTATCGCGCACCGTGTAACAATCCTTCCCACAAGAGGCCTGCTCACCAATCGGGACGCCGCTCGTGCCGCAATCGGAACGATCGGTGACCGATGCTACGGATCACTAGACACACTGTTGTCGCCGACACATGTTCTCGGGCCCAGACGAGAAGCCGGCGGCCTCTCCGCGAGCCTGCCACTGGCCCCGGAACGCGGCCCTACCGGACACCCTCGCGGAACGATCGGCCGTTATCACACGTCGACGTCGTCGTCGCCGGCGCGGTCCTCGCCGGATGCTCACGGTTTCGCGGGGGAGACAGGTGTTCCCGTTGGTTCCTCTCGCGAGCCGCTGCAGCTGGACGGACCCGGAGAGTGGCGCAGCCTTTAGCTCGGCCATGAATGACGCACCGTACTTACTTCGAGCTACTTCGCGGAGGCGGGGCCTACTCGCGCCCACGTGACACCTAACCGCCTCCACCCTCCCCCTCCGCGCCGTTCGCCACACAGGAGAGCCGACCGTCCTTCCTACCTAGCCGCGAGCCGCGACACGAGCTCTCTCTCCCTCCTTTCGACCCCGCACTCCACGCCAGCTGCCACCACCACGGGATCCACCACCAACGTCGCCGCCACCGCCACCGCCACCGCCGCCGCCGCCGCCGCCGCCGTCGCCGTCGATGCCGCCGCTGCTGCCGCCTCCACCCCCCACCCCCGCAGAGCACCGTCGATACCACCGTCGACCGGTGCAACCGGAACTTGCACCCGGAGAGCTTCGATTCAAGGCGACGCGCGTCGGGACGCGTCGGGACGTCAACGCTGCCCCCGATTCCTCGACCAGGTTGGGGTCGGTCAATCCGAACTATTTGTACCGTCGCGGATACGAGAGTTCGAGGTCGTGAAGTCGCCCACGAAGTATATAATCAACGGAAGATTCGGACGTGAAGTCGCCGTGTTGAGGTTTTCGGACCGACCGGGTCCTAAAAATAGCTAATGTATGTTGCTTTATCACCGATGATAAGACTGTAGTTGTTTAGACTTTTCGCCATTTTGATTACGACGTATGCTCGGATCAAGATATTCGTTCAATTATTCTCTACGAGAGAATGTCAATATTTTCGGCATTTTAAATATATAGGAATATGAAATCGGTCATTTTGACCAAATCGGTTGGTTTGGTGTTCACCCTTTGCACACGGATGTCGTCGATATGGCGACGCTGTATGTATATTCATATCGAAGCGGCGTTTCTTTTTAGTTATTCTTACTTTTTTCATACTGTAAGGTGATCACGTGAAATACATAAATGAGAACATAAAATCATTTATTTATTAATTCCTATTCGATTTGTCGGCAGTATAGCGAGTTTTATTTGAATTTTACTTTGTAGAGTGAAATCACAATTTTTGCAAAATTAATCAGAACAATCTTTCGAGTGTTAAGGGTTAAAACCATATTCTAATCCAGTCATAAGCCAAAATCGTTTTGTCGAAAATCGTAATATTATTACTTTATGGCACGGTCGATTTTGAAACTTGAAAGTATCGCATACGCGAGTAGTATGAAAAATATATAAAAGTAGTATAAAAGTATAAAAAGTATTTTAAAAAGTATAAAAAGTATTTTAAAAAGTGTATGAGTATAAAAAGTAGTATGAAAGCATCGTGTCACGATGTTATTGACTGTATCATTCTCGACAGAAAATGTTTAACGAAAGCTGCGGATGGGAACACTGAACGAATTAGCCATTTTCATCTTCGTAAATTGAGGGTCACGTGTGGTACTAATTCTACCAATCTGATAGACAAATTCCAGCTATTAAACTATCAAGGATTTTACCTCCTGATTTTCGCAACAAACATGAAAGTGTGTCTTGCTTGTTTTCTAAGAATATATTTTAACTATTTTTTCTGTAGGGGAAACAAGCCTAATATGAGGACCTCTTCTAATATGAGATTCGAGCGACTTATCGACACATTTTTGTCGCGTATTAACTCTCATCTTTCGTTGTTTCATCTGCTTGTTGGCGTCCAGATCAGTCTAGCGTCATGCAAAATCGCACATTTGTAAAATAACGTAGCGAAAAGATTTTGGAGGAATTCGATTGTATTACAAATATCTTAAAAAGATGGTAACTGTATAATTCTTTTTATAAATACTATTTTATAGTGCGTTGTATGAAGTTTATGATTTACTAATTATGTATCGTTAAAGCTTGAAGAGTTATCATCAAGATTCCTTAATACTTTGACATGTTATTGTTTCGAAATATGAGACTTTTAAATGTTCTTATCACAATGCTAAACCGAAACAGATAATACCAAAGAAAACACGAGTAGAAAATAATAGTTCAACAGATGAAGAAGAAGAACTTATTCTAAATGATGGAAGTAATTATGAAGAAAATTATGATGCAGAATGTTCGTTTCGCACAAACCTTTGCATTTCAGACGTAAATGATAAACAATGGCTTCAACGAATAAAGTTCTACTGATGGGCCTGCGAAGACTGTGGCGCTGAAAAAACAAATCTTATATGGCCAATGTATGAAAAAAAGGCAGAAAAAATAAATTTCCTGAAGAAGGAAATTCTAAGTTCCATATTAGGAACCCATTTCTCAAATCTCTGAATTTGCATATTTAGCTTTTCCTTTATTACGAAGAATTAGGATTTTTTCTTTTATGTTCCAGCAGATTGTAAAAGAACACATATTATAGTCTTTAAACGTGAATCTACTTCTGATTGAAGCGTTTTTAAACGAAAATTATGATTTAGAAAAAAATAGGCCTCGTATTAGGCATCTCTTCCCTAAACGAAGATAATGAAGAAATAAAAATTGTGTCATTCTATTAGAAAGATTATTAAGACGGGCAAGCGCTAATCAACTTAATTCAAACGTAACTCTTTGCACTATAATAACGCGTTAGACTCGCGATGAAGATGCCGTCCCCAAAAATTTGCAACGATAGAAAATGCGCCATTATTCTGACAAGCAGTTTATATGATCTGCGTTGCCATGCTTCCGTCGGATTTCCAGGTAACTCTATCGCCGACCTATGAGACTAGCCAAGCGAAGGAACCGCCTCCGATTACGAGACGCGGAATGAGAATGCATGTCGACACCCCCGCGAATCGACCGAACCGTAGACGCAAACTCGTTCCGACGTAACACTTGTTGAGTCGATTCACCCCCGCAGCCGACCGCCGTCCCTCGATGGACATTTCGCAAATGACCGAGGGATGTGCGAAGGAATTTCTGTTATCAGCACGGACCGGTTTATGCGCTCGGAGACTTTCTGACCGTGTGCGATTTTTTTGTTTTCTCTTTTCGCCAACGTGCTCCACGCTGCTCCAGATCGTCCTCCGAATGTATAAATAAAAGGAAGTTTATGTTTGGGCAGTTCCAAGTTCAGAGAAATGTTATAATTGAATTGATCGAGCGATAGTATTCAGCATTCTCTATTTTTCTCTATTCACGCATTGCACATAATTTGAAACGATTTTTTGTTATCTTTGTTTATCGAAATATGTGCTACCATTTCTACAATACATTAACTTTGTATATTATAATATTATTAACTTATATTAATAATACGCTATATTAATAATACATTAATTATTGTCTATGATGTTAATTAAATGTTCATTGAAAAGGTGTAATTACATTAAAATATATGTATATTTGCAAGTGCAAAACATGGGACATGGATATTTGATCCATGCAAATCTAGATTTAACCTTCTAATCGTAGCCGAGTTTTGTTTGTTATGCAGATTTGTTATGCATCATTCTATGAACTAGATTCAAAGAGGATATGAAAGGAGAAACAAGAATTAATTAAACAATATAACTTTTATTAACACCTTGTTACAGGAAATGTTGTCATTGTATTTAACAAGAAGTGGCAACAGATGTTTACAAATTATTTGGTGAAATATCTGAAACTAGGATTTTTCAACACAGAAGAACAGTATATAACAATAAATAATACAGTATACACCTAAAAAGCTTAAAATGTGAAATATTGGATAACTAAAAGTAACTAAAGTAACTAAAAGTGATGTGTATTTAATCTACAATTTAATAAAGGAGGAGACGGTCAAATTTACTCTTGCAGCTTTTGTATCGAAAATTACACCGTTCGATAGTTGTCTAAACAAAATCCTCCGTGCCAAATTTCAACGCCGAAGCATGCAAGGGTGATAGATACAGGGTAAATTAGATCGCTCAATTTTCTGCGGATTTAAAACACACCACAGTTTTGTACAACAAAATTATAAGTCAGAAGTGAACTGAGTCGCTAATTATCCGGATTAGTGGTTAACGCGGCAATAGATAACCAATCCAAAACGGGAAAAAAACATTACACTAGTTTCATACTGATTCGCCGATAAAATACTATCAAAAGCAGCGTTCTCAACTTTTTGAAACTTTTGGTAAGGTGCGACATAGCAAAAAATATACATTTTCGCTGGGACCAGTACAAATACTAATACTTCCAAGTATTTGCACTGGCTAGAGCGAGATGATGCTTCTCTCTTCCACGTTTATTAAGAAACACGAAGGTTGGAAGAAGAAAAACCAGCACAACTCTCGTGGTGACGACGAATCGTCGGGACAGTGGTTGAAGAAATTCGAACAACAATTGAGGAGTAATAAATCCTCAAAATTCGGAATTCGAATCGTTTATACGGTCATTTGCAAACATGCGAACCAGGTATTTAGCGCGCTCGTCTACAATGACTCTTGTTATTTCGTACTCAAGATTTGACTTTAGTTTAGCATAAAACCGACAGTGGCATCATATTTTCTTCATTATTCAAAATATTTACCAACCTTAGGTGTTCTTTTTTTTAACTTTTTGTTCCTTACAATTTATCCCGAAAATTTTTATTTTGCACAGAGGTGCACAATATAATAATTACTCATTACTGTCACGTACAGGTGCCCACTGAAAATGTTGCCTCGAGTTGCAGCATAGCTAAAATATGTTCTATCAACTATGCATCACTGTAGATGCGATAAATACACGGACCTAGTCGGAGGAGATGTTCACATTTACTTTTGCAACTTTTTCAACAGATATTACACCCTTCGATAGTTGGCATGACGAAATCATCCGTGCTAAATTGCAACGTCGGAGCATACAAACGTGATAGGAACAATGTAAATTAGATCGCATAATTTTTCGTGGATTTAAAATACACAACGGTGGACAATAAAATTATCTTTAAATCACAACAATGAATCGCTAATTACTCGGATTAGTGGTTAACGCGACTATAAATAATCAATATATAATGAGAAAATAACGTTACACTATTTTCATATTGATTCCCTTGTAAAATAGTATGACAAGTAGCATTCTCAATTTTTTCAGATTTTTGGTAAGGTGCGCCATATAAA